GCGAGCCCGCGACCTGGCGGGGGTGCAGGGGCCTGCCTTCCTAGCTGCGTCCCGGGAAAGCCCGTAATTCCCCCCCCAAGGAGCAGGTAGATCTAAAAAAAAAAAAAAACCAAAAAAAAAACCTGGGTAAACTGAAAACAGTAATTGCCTGCTAACACTAGGAGCTTCCCAGAGGAGGGACTTCAAGCAAGGCTGCCAGGAGGATTTAGTAGCCGGATCCACGGCAGCAAGGCTGACATAAGCTCTGCTCGGGGAGGTAAACATAGGATAGCTCAGGTTTCTGTAGGAGAAAAGCACGGGAGACTTGTGCCCCAGGGAAAAAAAACCATCGTAAGGCAGCAGGAACTATTTCCAGAATGAGCAGAAATTACAAATCCAGCGGCACCGACGCGTGACATTAAATATTTCTGTGCAAAACCCCGAGACAGCTCGGAAACGCACCGATGTCTCCGGGTGATTAAAATATTTTAGCGGGCATTCAAAAACCCACGCTCGAGCCTGTTGCCCCGTTTCGGAAGCGTTTTCAGGCGCATCTAGAGCAGCTGCAGCCCAGGCGAGGTAACGTGGACTTCAGTTCAGACCTACCAAATCTCGCCCCCCTCTGAAAGGCGATTTCTGCGGCGGGGCACCGTTTCCCGGCCGCCCCCGGCCCGCCCCGTCCCGAGGGTCCCGGGCGGTGGCGGGAGTGGGCCCGGCCCTCGCAGGTCCCCCCGTGTCCTTACAGCACAGACAACGAAGGGAAGTTTTTGTATTTTTTTTTTTTTTTTTTAATCTAGAAGACCTCACGCCGAGCAGTAAAACCGCTGAGTCTGCTCCCAGATTTCTAAAGCGCTTGTGCTTCAAATTGAAGTCGGGCGCCGCAGGCTGCTCCTGCTATTCCACTTCTCCCGCAAGGTCCCGATACTTTTTTGGGTTATTTTTTGGTCAGATCCCATCAAAGGGGCCATTGTGGGGAATGCGTCCCGAGTCCCCGGGAACTGCCTCTGCCTTTCCCGCGGGCGCTGGCTTCAGTTGTGTCTAATTCTAAAGCGCTTGTGCTTCAAATTGAAGTCGGGCGCCGCAGGCTGCTCCTGCTATTCCACTTCTCCCGCAAGGTCCCGATACTTTTTTGGGTTATTTTTTGGTCAGATCCCATCAAAGGGGCCATTGTGGGGAATGCGTCCCGAGTCCCCGGGAACTGCCTCTGCCTTTCCCGCGGGCGCTGGCTTCAGTTGTGTCTAAGCAGCCGCGGAGCTTTGAGTAACCCTGCAAACACGGGCATGAAAAGGATGTCCCGGTAGGGCAATGAGGCATGAAATCCCGCTGTTCCTTTACATAGTAGCAACACCCACATGAAAGAGCGAACACCCGTCGTGCCACCAAATATAATTGCATAGATGGAGGGTATTAGCGGAAAAAAGAGCTGGCGCCGGTTTCTCTTTCACCACGGCCCTTTCTCGCACGCACACCCGCAGACAAACCAAACCACCTGTACCTTCTGCAGGATTTAACCGAGTGGAAAACTGGGTCGTTGGCACCATCGGCTGCTGCATATAAGGCA